CTGTTGAAATGTAGTTTGATCTCACTAGACCCCTGCATTTCCAGATCATAGACTTGGAATAAGTCAATCCAACCTAGATAAACAATGCCAAAAGTATGACACAAAAGTAGTGCAGTGGTAAAGTAGCAAAGCTGCACACTCACATTTTAAAATCTTTGATTCTCACAACAAAACTGTACACATCTCACTTTGCTTGTAAGGTTTCTTGATGTTTTTGACTAATTCATGCTTCCAATTCCCTGTAAATAAAGATGATAAAAAGCATGCCTGTCTAAAAGTACATCTCAAACAAACTATACAGCTGGGCTAAAACTAATGGGTGAAATGGTATTCATATATATTCAAAAGTTCCTTATATTTTAACATGAAGCTAATGGGTTCTAAATAATTGTTTGCAGAATCTGATGACATGTTACCTGAATATCCCCCCACCCCTGATGCGTTACTATTTAGCAGCTATTTTGCATCATCAGCTGATATCCAAAGATTTTGCAAGAGTTCACAGTTTTACAGTATCTGACCAGAGATACAATAGCAACTTTTTAGGAGGAAAGACTGACTACAACTTGACTCAGAGTTGCATAATATTTTGTGAACAACAACTACAATATAGTAGTTGGCACTGGATAATTTCTGTTTATGGACATGAAATAGTATCTGACAGATACTTTGCAAGGCATTTGACAATATCCGCTACTGCCATACACTAGCAAACATGCTTGCCATATATGATAGCTGCTTTGTGAAAGAATTCATCGTGCCTATTCATTCATCAAACAAAACTGGTACTGTATTGCTAAAGGAAGTATTTCCATTAAGATAGATTTGAGTATGTTTTAATTTATTGAAAGTGTCTTATATAAAATTATATTGTTTCTGCAACACAAATATCAGATACCCTTGTGAAGAGCAAGTATTTTATATCGGCAAAAACCATAAAAATGAGTTTATTTACAAGAATGAATTGTGAAAAGCTGTGTTTTATATTTTTAACGTCCAGAATAAGTCTATTTCAGTATAATTCAAAGACATTATATCTATTTAAAAATTCCATCTTCACGTTTTCTTTTTAATACATGTATATCAAACAGACATTAAAGGGACCAACAATACTATATGGCAAAAATGATGTATGGCAGCTGAGTCTTCCCCAATATGCTACCCTCCAACTGTATTGGATTTTAACTCTAATAATTCCTAACCAGCAGAGCCATGCTCTGGCCATGCAGGTTAAGGATTATAGATGTATAGACTTCATATCCCAGTCTCCCAGAACTCCCATGCTGTTTGGAAGGTACAGGAGTTGAAGTCAATATGTTTGGCGCATACTAGGGTAGGAAAAAATGATACCTGGGATTGATAATAACTGATAAATCTGTCTGTAATTTTAACCCAAAGTGAAAGTGATGATTATTCAGAAGCAGCTGGACCTGATGCAGTTATATATAAACTTGTAGAACAAGTTGAGGTTCCATGTTGGGATAAAGTATATTAAAAATTGCAGATTAAACAAGGTGTTGCAAGACTTAATTAATATTTATAATTCAATCCAAATCAGCAAGCAGAAATGGCAGCAGCCAAAGTATTTCAGTATATCCTACCATTTCCCGAACTGCATAACTATATAACAAAATGTCAAATACTCTAATTCAAAGGAAGGAAAGCAAGGGCAAGGTACAGCTTTTTAAACATGACAGACTTGGGATTGCAGGATCATTTCATAAGTTATTACATACATTTTAGTCCAGAGGGAATGACCAGTATTTGATCTGTACTATTGCTTTGAGCATAACTGTGGATTAATATACTATTGTACTATTATGACAAGCCAGTGCTTGTGATTAGGGGCCTGTAACAACTCAACAAGATGGAAAGTCCATTTTCTATTAGCACATTCCAAACACAGATTTAATAGTGATAAAGGCCTATGAATTGCTTGATGTTTTGATTTGCACTAGTTCAAGTATAGGATTATACTGTTACACAGTGTAATAAACTTAAAGCCTCCAAGCAAATTTTTGCTAACTTTCTGAGATTTTTGTAGCAAAAACTAGAACTGAGGCATAAAGGCAGACCAACTTCATAACAAGAAAAAGAAACAATAGTGGAACATACCTACCACTGACCCAGTTCTTCACCAAACACTTCAGACACTTCTTCAAACACTACATTAATAAATTCCAACTGCAAACAACAGGAGCAGATTTTTAAAAGATTTTGGAAATGTGGTTGCAGTCCAAGTGTAGAATAATCTGATAGAGAAATAATAGGACTACCATGCCCAAATTCTTAATGTTTGAATTCTTGTGACATGTTTGCAAATGTGAATACAAACATTATGTTTACATTATCTGAACTGTAATAAAAGTACAGTACTTAATGTTTGCATTTTAAAAAGTTCTTAAGTTGTTTTGAGCCACTTCTGACAATAGAAGTCTAAATATTCATTAATATAATAACATCTTCCTATACATTTTCAACCCTTCCCTTCTTTTTTTGTGCAGGCTCTTTTTCCCCAGAGATATTCCTTAGTATTGCCACCCTTTTTCCCTGTCATGGTACCTCACTACCCACAGCTACTAAGTCTTTCAGCATATGCCAATATTTTAGAGGCAAGCATATACATTAAAAAACCCACAAGCAATGAGGGATTCTATTCACTGTTTTCACAACATCACTGTTAGGAACATTATTTTGCCAAAGGAGAAAAAGGAATTTCTTGAAGGTACTTAAGTACATAGATACCCAAAACAAATGCAGGTGTCAAATGTTGTACATATGGTGACATCACAACACAACCTCTTCCTTACGTACTTGCATCTCAATGTCTGACCAAGTACACAAGTTGCTGTTTTCCCTTCATGGTGCATGTTTTGCCATGTATTCCCACCCTACAATGCCTATAGAGTAGCGCAATTAAGTCCTCACTGTTGCAGAACAAACCTGTTTTCCTATATTTCTATAGTCAAGCATTTACTTGTGTTGCATCTTTCACTAAGACTGTCAACAGCCTTTTGAATTAAAATTCATTTCCTTGTGCACTATTTCTGAAATACTGTACTGTGTATTCTATCATAAAAATGAATGCACCAGGAAAAGGGAAAGTCAGTTCATAATTAGTACTTTGAGGTATTTGTCAGGACATCACTCTCTGTTCAGCGTGGATTCTTACTTTACAACTAACACATGAAAAGCTGTTTAAAAGACATATATAGAATAGCTGTTCCACCTGGTATTATTATTTGTATTATTCACCCGATGAATAACTCACATTACTTAGAAAGTTTTAGTAGTGTTTCCAATTGCCTTCGTGTAAATACAGCCCTCAAAAGTTATGCTGTGACTAATATCAACTGGAACATTTCCAGAATATTTACTACATTTGCAGCAAAGTGCAGAAGGAATGGACTTTTCATTTGTCATTATTTAGTTAGAAAAGGCCATAATCATTTTTCAAGTAATGGTCTCAAAAACAAAAGGTTCAGTAAGGGCTCATAAACTTTCAAGACAAGTATGAAGTTGAAGAGGCATAAAACTAAAGTAACTCATCCTGTATATGGGGAAGGCATTTTGGGGTTCACATTTCAAATTCAGGTAGCCTTGTCTTTGCTGTCACCTTTTGTTTGGAATGGATCTACACTATTATTTTAGATTTCTCCATTGTTTTCTATCTGTAATATTCACAAAGGTGATAATAAGTAGAATGTAAGAGTGGCCAGAAACAAAAACTGCATACCAGATGAGTCTTTTGTTAAGAGTAGTCGTAAAATGATTTGAAAATCTGCATGCCAGCTTCTCAAAATGCAGTTCAAAAGCTCATGCAGAGCTTTAAAAGCCCAATTCAGATGTCATGTGCCAGAAGGGTATTTAATTTATAAAAGACTGTAAGTTCATACATTTAGCCCTGTCTTAAGATTATATAACATTTCAGGCCCCTTTATATTCAGAATAAAAGCTTCTGTCCTGGGATTTATTTCTATTTGTTGAGGTTTACCTCATGATATAGTATCTTGATATGACTATATAGATATATGATCTTAAAGGTATGACATTATTAGTCAGAGGGAACAGATCTTGTTCTGTAACTTTTTTTTTTTTTTTTGCTTTTCCACCATCACCTCTTTTTGTTGTTGTTGAAAAAAACAGTTTAAGAATGATTGAATTATGGTTACTAGTGGAAAAAATATTATTTCTGTCTTAGTTCAAATCACAAGGAAAAATAGATTTAATGCTTGTAATACTGAATGATATCACAACATATACTTTCTGGGAAGCATCCTGATCCTTAATCATATAAGGAAGTTAATGAACAGATTCTGACTTTTCAAATGAGCAAACTGTTTTATACATGTAATTGCACATCAAGTCCAAACAGACGTTTGATTATCATCTTTCTGAAGCACCTAAAATGGTTCTCTATACAGAGTTACTGAACTTCTCTCTATAGCAGAATGTTACAGTCCAATCCCATCAACTAAATTATTTTAATTTAATGGACATACTATCAAGTAATGGGTATATTTATTCAGTCTCAATGAGTTAAAAAAATCACTGTCAAGTAATTGTGCTATAATTTATCTGATTTTGCCTAGTGAAAAGTGTAACGTAAGTACACTTTTCAAAAGTATAGATTTACTTTTATTTATGAAATTTGCACAATAAAAATTGCTATATTACAACTCTGATGGGATACATGTTAAGGAATAATAATAATCTGTACAGTCAGGGTCCATCATAATAACTTGAAGTAAGTAGGACACTCATCCTGCAGCACTCACATTAATATAGTTGCAGAAAACTCTTAACAACCCTATATATTTATTCTGGAGTTAAGGAATTCTGAAACAGAACAAACTTTTCCTTTGTAAGCAGATTTGAGCACCTAATAGGAACAGAAGTTGTGACTGTGTCCAAAAGATACAACTGCTATCCATTCATACTGTAATGTCAATTTTTAAAGCAAGGACAGAACTGTCGGGTAAAATCTCAATCACTCTCAGCATTCCCCCCACCGCCTAGCCCAAAAAATGTTCTACTGGAACATAGCAAATATTTCCAAATCAGAATCCTGAGAGGGTTCAGTGTTTTCAAAAAAAACTTTTTTTTTTAATCCGCACTATAGCTAAAATAATATAAACAGACAAGCATGCTTTCACTTCCAGTTAATTTAGCCAAATGAAGTAGCACTGAACGACCCAACCGTTCTCAATTTCTCGACTGAAAACACGACGGTCCTGAGGTTGGGGACGACTTATCGCAGGAAACCCAAACTTCGACCTCTCAAGGGACCCGAAACACGCGTCCTCGGAAGTAATTCCCACGGAACTCAATAGGGTTTACTTCTAAGGAAGTGTGAGGAATAATTTCCGCCTTCGCCTGATAATACCCCCAAGACTAAAATCCTGTGTGTGTGTCTGTGTGTGTACACACACACAGACACACACGCGCATATCTTTAAGAACGTGAGCTCCGCTCCTTAAAACAAAAACATACATAGATTCAGACACCGTGTCGCTCTTGAGAAAAGATCCTATAGCCCCAAAGAACAGGAGTTCAAGTCACGTTTACACTACGCAAAAAACCGAGCAGCTCAGCTACCAACTCAACTCCCCCACCACACCTGGAACATAAAACAGGAAGAATCCCGCCACCGAACCCCGCGAGTCGCGAGAAGGGCGTGAGCCAAACCCCACCCATTCGGCCTGATTTTGCTTTTCCTTGTTCCAAATGGCTAGTGCCAACTGCCAATCAAGAGAAAGTCCAGCCCACGGGCGCGCACGTCCCTGAAGAGGCAGCGGTTTAAGATTAGCGGACGGGGGAGTAGGTCCGCGCGTGCGCTAGCAGGGAGCTGTTGGGGGAGGGGGGAGATAAAAAAAAGGGAGGTGGAGAAGAAACAAAAACAATCGCTCGGGCGCCGCCATCTTGGGTCCGTTCTCTCCACCACGCAAGTGAATGGGTAGCTATGAAATTACCACAGGGGCGCAGCAAGGTACGGAGGGCTATTCAGCGCTACCAGCCGGGCCTGGGGGACGATAAAACCGGTTCTTTCCCCCTCCTTCTGTTCTTCTTCTGCTTCCGACGCCGTCCCGAGGGAAAATCTCGGCAGGGCCCTTCCTCCTCTTCGGCGGCTCCTCAACTTCGCTACCTAGAGCACAAAGTTGGGCTTAGCCGCGTTTTCGCCGCCAGCCAGGAGACCAGGGGGTTAGACCCAGGAGCAGCAGGCTTTTCGCAGTCTGGGAGGAAGAGTTAGGGAGAGAAGAAAGGCGAGGGGCTCCTCGCCCGCTTTTCTGCCTGCCTTCCCTTGCTCTCACCGCACAGGCTCGTCTCGTCTACGCTGTATGGGAGGCACAAGAGGAGAGAAAAAGGCGAGCAAGGATTGACCAGGCTCCGTGCCCTCGCCCGCCCCATTCTCATCCACTCGCTGCGGGTGTGAAGGGAGGAGGAGGAGGAAAAGGAGAAGGAAAAAGAGGGAGGAGAAGCAAACAAAAGCCAAGTTGGACCGCGTACGAAAAATCTGCCTGCCTCTAAACAGGTCGAAGGGGACTTGGTGGGAAATGGTGAGCCCGTGAAGGTTTAGAGCGGAGGGCAAAAAGAAGAAGTGTACGCTGACACATGTATCGACAAGCTTGAAGAGGGTTTTATTGATCAAGGAGTAAAGATCTTACCTACTCACCCGCCTGGCCACTCAAAAAGACCGATGTACCCGTATTTGATCTCCGTGGTTATAGAGCATCGCTTCACCTACTTCACCCATATTTGAGACCTTTCAGACTACTACTTCGGGAAACCTCTCGGAAGCTCCTTGAGTTTTTTTTTATGTATTTTTAGAATCATGAAAAAAAAAATTCACCTTTTAACAGCTGGAAACAACATTGCCTTCCCGCCTTCCTCATCAATTTCATGTGATTTTAAATACCAAATAGGAAGGTGTTTTCAGTATAGTCTGGGCTCTTGAATAGGATGGGGGAGTTCTTTTAACAGTTGGGGAGTGTCTGAAGTCTGTTGGTCAAATGAGAAAAGATCCTGAAACAAAAAGGGATTGAGTAAACAAGTGGAAGTATGCATTTTTTCCTTGCCTAGATAAGGACTCTCCACTCCTTCCTTAGATCTGTGGTGTCAAGAGGACGGATTACCTCTTATTTCTGCCCTCTTCTTGTTTGCTCTCAGCATTTGTTAATAGGAAACATCAGTGTTTCATAAATTTCTTCAAATTTTTCAAATTAATGGATTGGTTTCCTATTGTTTGTTCCACTGAAGGCATATTTATGTTGACACTTGAAACTAAGATGGAACTATTTCTCATCCAGATACTATGTTGTGTAAAAGAAGCGTGAAGACAGAAAGTATTGTTTACTAATATTTGTGCATCTTGCCTGTGTCCAGGACTCATGGGAAATACGATTTCAAACTGAAGAAAATATAGTGTGCTTCAGGACAGTTATTAGCTTAACATTCAACTACTGCATTGTTTATCTTTTAAACTGGATAGTTAACATGCTCTTATGAATTGGATTTTTTGCCATTGTTAGTACGGAAGCCAAATTATGTGCGTGTTTCCAAATATATACACCACTGAACTGGAGGGTATATTGAAAAAGAGCTAGAGACACTATATTATAGAAGCTGGATTTCATTCTTATGGATGCATTATTTTCCAAATGCATTATTATAGATCACTTTAAGGAAGTGAAAGACGGATTTTCATGTTTGAAAGATCCTAGAAGCTGGATATAGAATTTTTTCCTATTGATTCCAACTATTTGGAAAATGGGAGCTGCTACAAAGCTGGTGTTTGCTGTTTTTCTTATATCTTGTTCTTCAGGCAAGTATATGCTTTTTTCCCCTCTATTAGTCCTCATTTTGAATATCTGTTTTATTTCATAACAATCTAACTAGATTCAAATGCAGATTTATGTTTTTTACATAGTACTTTCAACAAAAGTAATTATTGTTGGAATATTACAATTAAGTTGAGTACTACTTCAGGTGAAGTATTGAAACATGTTTTGTAAACTACCTCTGCAAGCTAGTTATTTGGAGAATTATACAAATAAGCCAAACTGTTTTCAGGTTTATAGTAATTAAAAGAGATCAACTTTTTTTTATATTTATAGTATTCTTAAATGAGGTATGAAAAATGTATCATTAGAATATAGTTTCATTCGGGTTTAGAATTTTTTAAAAACCTTTTAATATTGGGGAGTGTATATTGTAATAAACCCTGAGTTTTGCAGCAGAAAATCTGCATTTTAAATCGGTTTGTAGTCACAGGGAGGTACTTTTCTGGACAGCAACTAGTTAGACTTACTGTTTTCTGGGACAAGTCATCAATGGACATTATCACCCTGGGTTTTCTCTTCATTATTTAAAATGTTATATCTGTTCTGTTTTATTTCATTTACCAGAACAGTTCTAAGTTAATTGAAAATTATAAATGAATTGATACACCTGGTTATGGTTTCATATTGCATATCTGCTAGTGAGGGCTATGTGTAAGATTCTGCTGAATGGTACACTTTTCTTGTGGTTATTAAATGGATGCAGTCTAGTCTTGTGTCTGTAATGTTATTGATCTGTTCAGTGTGGGCTGACTGCTGTGAAATGGCGATCACTATGAGAAATTGAACAGGCTGAAGTTTGCTTAGAGAGAAATGGCTAATCTTGGTTTTGGGTAATAATTCTGTCAAAGTTATAATGGATTTTATATAAGTGATACTAGTAACTTTGATACTAGTAAACTTGTAACCATTTTAGTTTTCTGGTAAAATACTTCTTAGGATATTCAGTTTCTTCAGCTGCTTTTTGACAGTAAGATTTGAGATGTACTTCCTATGTGCTTTCTTGCTTATGTTTGCATTTTATTAATTTCAGTCAAGATCTACCCTTAAAATGTGTTTTAACTATTGATGGAGAAGCAGCTCAAGACAGTTAGCAATTTTAAATTATTTCTAAAATTATTCTAGTACATAATTTTAAAATTATTAATTATTTAAATTATTTTAAATAGTACAATTATTTTTTACTATTGGTAAAAATTAATAATACTGATTATGAGAGAGATGACATTTTAAAGATAATAAATATCAGATCGCTTACAAGTTTTTATAATTCATATGAAAAATCATACATTTGCACAAACAATACAATATGTTCATGTTAGCTTTATTATAGAATTAGACATGAATTAATGTAGTGATTATAAAGTTGCAGAGAGTAAATAATGCTTCTATTGTTCAGTAAGCTTGGTGAATGTGTCCTAGACCTGTTCCAAGCAAACTGAAATTTAGGCCAACATATTAAGTTCCTTGCTATGTTTAATTTTTTATTTTTGCAGAAATGAAAATGGAAAACTTCTATAGAGAAATGTCTCTTAAATAAGCTACTGGGATAATATCTGTATTTTCTCCAGCTTCCCCATTTGTTTTCTAGAATTTCTCTTTCCCTGTTGGTTTAAGTGTGTTGCTGTTGTAGTAATGGAGGTCATTTGGGTTTTATAAATATAAAGAAAAAAAATCATCTTACACTGCTGTTCCAAGTTTTAAGCATTGATGGAAAGTTAGCCTCGTGCCACAATAGATTGAATTCACACATGCTAAACTGGGATTTTTATGATCATAGTTTTAGTGAATAAGCCATAATCTGATGTCATCAATCATAACGACATCATGAATTTCACACATTTCCAAGAAATGACATGGCTTAGAAAGCTGGGAAAATCTAGTAAATAAGGTTTACTTTTGAGTAAATATAATTTTCAGAAACCAGAACTAGCTTGAAAAAGCACCATAAGAATAATTACTTATCACTGTGGATGATATTTTTACAGTAAATTTAGGAATGATTTCTGCAGTACTTTTATAGTGAGTTACTGAAAACGTACACATACTGAGAAACTATTGAAAAACTAGAATGCTCATTTATAGTAGGCAACTCTAAAAATTAATAAGGGTAAAATATTGGGAGTGGTCACAACATAAGGTAACAATTGTACATTGTGTAATTAGCTTTAATTTCAGAAGTTTTAATTTAATAAAATGCCTGTTTCTAAATAAAATCTCATCTAATATAGAGTTGTTTGTTATAAAATGTTATAATTGTTGGCTTGAAGTATATAAGAATAAAACTTTTCATCAAATATGGATAGTCTATAATAATTTTCATCAAATATGGATAGTCTATAATAATCACTCTTATTTATAACTTAGGTTTTGTTCTGTTTTGCAGAATATCAGTTGTAAAAGCTAACAGCTTCTTTGTATATAATCCCTTAAGACACTAAATTGCTTTGACAGATAATCTATTTACATTACACCAAAGTTAGAGAAACATTCCTGAGAATATCTTGTGTATAGAAAAAAATCTTACAAGAAAATGAACTGCTTACAGTATATTATATAGTCTTGATGTGACATAGTGGATAAAGAATGTGTTTTTGCTACAGAAACAATAGTTGGGTATATGAATTCGTATAATATTTCAGTCAAGTCAAACTGATCAAGCTAAGAAAATAAAGCAGATGGAATCCTTCCCCCCCCCCCGGAATATTTATTAAAGCTATTTGTGTACTTTGTCAGTAATTAAGATTTATATCAGAAGCCCTAGAGCATAGTTACTTGGCTGTAGTTGTCATGAACTTTAAAAGTAATGCCAGTGTTGCTAGTTATTAATTGTAGGATCTCCTTACAACTTGAAGTTGCTGAACACAAAGACTGTCAAATCCATATTATATTAATTGAGCTATTATTTGTATGCATTTAGGAAGAATAAACAATATGTTTGTATTGTGCTTACCCATTTTTTTCTTTCTCCTGTTATGAACAACTGAGATAAAGGATTGTGATACATTTGATAGTTTTCAACAATAATACAGCAATTGCCAAGTAATGCTGCTTTGATTTTTTTCCAGTAGCACTTTCAATGTTTTAGTGCTCAAAATATGCTGATTTTAAAGAAAATGAAGTATCTTTAGTCACAAACTGATGAAACTGTGACTGTTTATAACTGGAATAACTTCTCCTTTTCTGTGTCTATCAATATATTGATTGGCTTTTAGAGGGGGTGTGAGATTCCTATGAAGTAAGTATTACTACATTTGATCTTTCAAGAAAGCCTGTATGATACTACATTTGATTCTATAGATTTGGAATTCAGATTTTTTTAAATTGAGTAGTGAATACTATTATCAGTGGTAATTATGCTGGATAAATAACTTATTGAAATATAAACATAGTTTTGCATATTTTCATTGAAATACTTGAGTTTTAGTAACATATCTATCTGTCCGCTTTGAGGGGATTTTTGTGTTAAAGATGTTTGCCTTTTCCAAATGACTTCCTTATGATATCAGCTTTTTATAGTAATCTGGCAGCAAATAACTGTTAAGTCCTTTCAAAGACCCCAATTATGATTTTGGAGAACCTATATAATGATGATCAGTATGAAGAATTATTCCGAGAGAGGTCTGTGGTTCTTTAAGGAAGCATAAGTTCATCACAGAATTTACCCCTATCTCTTGGTTCCATTATAGACCTAGTCCTGAAATATGTTCTTACAGGCAAGAAAGGTAGCTGTATATTTTCTTCTCTTAGGTTGGTCATTGCAAAAAGCTGTTAATTGTCAAGATATGTTTTAGGTACACAAGGTGTTTGCTTTCCTCAGATGCATCTCCCCCAGAAACTGTTAGACAACATGAAATTGTTTTGGGAATAAATCTGGAAGATTTTATAAGTTTGAATTAGTTTACAATCCTATATGGATTTCCCCGTGGGCTTCACTTTTTATAGGGTTGTGACTTAGTGATTTTTAAAAAATTAGACTTGCTAGATTTTTAATTTGCACATGAGATTTTACTCAAAATCTTCTCTTTTCACACCAAATACAGATATTTGTAGGGTTAAAAAATCCATTGCTATGATGGATATAATTGAGAAATCTCATACATTTATATGAGAGTATTCTGTCTGGTCACATATTAACAAGTATGACAGTTGATATAGTTCTTAATAAAAAACACTGACTCAGTTATGGTTGAAGTAATATATAAGCCTAATTAATAAACAAAATCCATGGATTGAAATTTTATGGTATTTCCATTGTAATTTAATTGCTATAATTGATTTTGTGGAAGAAATACAGAATGATAGAGTATGCTATATATGGTATATGGCAAAACCCCCACAGCATTATTTGGTATTAAGTCAGGGGTGATTTGGATAATGTTAATAGTATTGTGAAAACATCTGCCATAATGGCAGCATCACCTTTTATTCTTCCAGTATTTTGGCCTCAGACTCTTCTGCAATCCTTGATAGATATTATGAAACATTTTAGTTTTGGGCTATTTCATGTGATCCAGACTATTCAATTCCAAACTTTTTAGTACTGTATAATCATTCTTGATTTTTTTCTTAACTGATATCTGTGAAACATGGTAGCTTGTAGGAGTTGTGAGAACTCAGTTAAACAAGAATAAAATCTGGCTTGTGGCATTAGTTTATAGCTGTGTATGACACAGCACAACTTAGGGGTTATTTGGAGTAATTTTTCTTTTTAATTCAGTGCAGATAATGCAGTGCCACAAGGTTCTTTCTTTTTCCTTATGTACCTGTTTGAGATCATTTGTTATCATTAATTGCTGTGTCACTATTAGAACTGTACAGCACTTCTCATTCAGTCTCCAAAAAGTGCTTCAGAGTATATGGGAGTGTGAATGTAGCACTTGTTTTATTTACTTGGCACAGCCATCTTAAGGAGTTGTAATCAGGCACTAACCCACACTCCCAAGTGCCTTTTGGAAATTAAATCTGAAATGCTGCATGGTCT